ATACTCTTTAGCAATACAGTGGAATCTGCCTATTACGGACTGGCCTGGGATCAACTCATTTGTCCTGATTGTAAAGCGGTCCGGATTAGACAACTTTTGTCCGTTACCGTAGACACTGCCACGACATCAAAACAAAAAACGACATGGTATTGCTTTGTGTGAACAAACAACAGAACACAACTTTGTCAGTAAAGACGTCAAATTTGCAATCAAACATCACTAGACAAGATTATTTAAATGTTCAGTTCTAATTTGTTTTTACTAGGCATTGTCTTATATTAATGGATTAAGATTGCTGTGTGTATTTGTCTCGTACACAGAGCCGGAAATAGCAATCAGCTGTGCACACGTTCCCCCACGACCTACCGGTGATTTACGCAATAAAATAAGGAGATGAATTCTGATGCAGTGAACATACTTCCATTTTACATCCAAGGCAGAACCTGCCAGTTGTCTTGTGGTCTGAGTAGGCCACGATTAGGACCCCCAAAAAGTAACGGAGATGTTTATTAAACGGACTGTTATTTTAGTCAGCTATGTCCGGATTACAAAGAATTGTTCTCATAGCAAGTTGATTGTTGGGACTGTTATTTTAGTCCGTAATCCGTAATTGAGAGAGTCCTGATTATAAAGCAAGTTTTAATGATAAATTAAGAACAATTTTGCCGGGACTCATAGAGTAGTCCGGATTACACAGAGTCCGGATTTGACAGATTCCACTGTATTCCAACGGGGGACACCAAATATGGGCTTTACATCTTGTACCCATGCGGGGAATCAAACCTGGAACTTCGGTGTGACGTACCACGTGGCTACTCCTCCGAGAAAAGTGAACATAAAGTGACATTGGCGTCATACTCGCTCCACCAATGCTACCTCACAAGTTCTGGAACAGTATATGAAATATACCCTTCTTGAAACAATCAGTTTTGTCTTACAATCAATGGTGCAGTATTACCCTATTAGAAACCGAATACAAGATCATCCATATTTGATTATTTCCGCAAATTACCAATCACTGCAACACACGAGCCGTGAAACACGGGAGTCTGGGGTTGTCTTACCTTGAGTGCCGTCCAATCATTGTTTTGGCACATGTAGCGAAATAAAATCACTTACCTTGTCACCAATGACAGGTCACACAAAGCGATCATAGTGCTGGAACTGTCCTATACTATCATAGACTTCCGACAATCCCAAGACTTTTTGTTAACGGGACCAAGCACTGACCGTACGGCTTTTTTACCTAGTCATCCTTCGTAGACTGTTATGGTCTTACTTTCGTCACGACTGATTTCAACGACAAAACCTTAAGTAATATTCAGCCTACTAGCCATTCTATTTTTTAATTGATTTGACTAAATAGTTGGCATAGTAATCTACGAACAGTGAAAAACAATACATTTTGCCATGATGTCAGGTGAGTGATAGACTAACACTTACAGCTAGTCTCTGAAAATAACATATTTTACACACAAAAAAGCTCATAGTAAAAAATATATAATATAATATAATGAAAAGGAGCCCTGAGACTTTGGAAATCTAGACTTGCCACATTTTCTAGACTTGTGTGTTCTTTCTTGGATATATATTTGCTTCAGGGTCTGTATGACAGACTAGGTGAGTGAGTGAGTATAGTTGTACGCCGCTTTAGCAATATTCCAGCAATATCAGGGACACCAGAAATGGGCTTCACACATTGTACCATGTGGGGAATCGAACCCGGGTCTTCGGCGTGACGAGCGGACGCTTTAACCATTTGGATAACCCACCGCCCATGTGATTCAGTGCACACTGGTACCATTGTTGAAAATATGTCGGTTTTGTTTATATGAATTTGGGTAACCCAATGGTTAAAGCGTTAGCTCGTCACGCGGAGGACCCGTGTTCGATTCCCCACATGGGCACATTGTGTAAAGCCCATTTCTGGTGTGGAGCGGTGGGGTAGCCTAGTGGTTAAAGCGTTCGCTCGTTACGCCGAAGACCCGGGTTCGATTCCCCACGTAGGTACATGAAGCCCATTTCTGGTGTCCCCGCCGTGATATTTCTGGAATATTGCTAAAATCGGCGTAAAATTAAACTCACTCACTCATTTCTGGTATCCCCCGTCGTGATATTGCTGGAATATTGCTAAAAGCGGCGTAAAACCATACTCACTCGCTCACTCACTCAATACGAGATACGTAATTCCGAGAGCAGTCTTTTTGTATGCAACGTAGAGTTCACATTTTGGCCACACAGACATTTCTTCGTGGGTAACAGATTTGACCAAACCCTTAAAGAATTAGGTCAGAATTGTTCGTTTGCAAACCATGCTTGTCGTAACGGGATCGGGTTGTCAGGCTCACTGACACTTGTCATCGTATCCCAAATGCACATTCAGAACAATGCTCATTGTGTCAATCACTGGATCGTCTCGTCCAGACTCCATTATTTACAGAACGACGCCATATAGCTGGAATATTGCTGAGAGCGGCGTTTGACAACAAACAATCAGATTTGATCAAAGAATACTCTTTATCTGAAATGTCATTACCATTGGTGGCAGGTTTCACCAATCTGGTAACCCTGGAGATCCCGAATTACGTGTCATGACACTTCAATCCATGGACACTTAATTCTACACCTTGGGTGCATGGTTATTCGCACTTTGGGATGACTGAAATAGTGTTCAAGATGACGTTAAACCCAAAACCACTCACCCAAAGACTTTGCGGTTTCAAAAGTTCACAGTATACAAGTTGATGATGAACAATTGATGTCTTCATGGCTTATATGGTCGCCTGCAGTCAGCCGCAATATGTACAGAGTTGTGCTTTGCTCACCGATCACATTACTATGGTGCATCTACGGAAGCGTTACTTGTGTGAGCTCGATGTCTAATTTCAATCTACAGTGGCGGTGATTGATAACCTTCTGGCGTGCCACACGCTATATAATACGTTGTTTTCCTTCAGAAAGGATTAGCTGTACAAGCAAAGAAGTTTGATATCTTTAAAGCGGGCGTTTGGCTTGTCATAGCCTCATATCAGGAGGCGCCAATATCCTTCACTTGCATTCACATCAAGGCAGTTGTATTTGATATTTTGCAAATTGTCGCTTTTGGGGCATTAACATTTGACGTTTACAGAGTTGATTAAACGAGTTGCCGAACCCAAATTGTTGGGAAACAGACCCTTGGTCTCACAGGCTGAAAGTCTTCATTTATTACACTCGTATCGCACGATGGTGGTGTTGAGTACCAGAGTCACGCCAAGCTCGTGTGAAGCCCTTCGTGTTTTATTACAAACGACGTATTTTATAATTGTGAAGCCTTGGAGCTCTTGGTCACTTGGGTTCTGTTGATGTAGTTTGGTGTGTTTTATAGATCCATGCGTTTGTTAGATATGCATAACAGCGTTGCTCCCTTCATCATTGGGAAGCCCGGTGTCGGGGTCCCCCGTCGTCATATTGCTGGAATATTGCTAGACTAGCGACTAGTCTTTGAATATATGTTTTGATAGAAGCAAATAATTCCTTATAACTTGAAAAGATACGGGAGATTCAGAACCCGAGACAATCTAGACTTGCTTCATTTGGGGCTTTAGCACTGCAGAAAGGACTGGGCGGAAGGTAAAATAACTCGGTTCAGGGAATGTGAGGCAGACTAGAATATTGCTAAAAGCGGCGTAAAAGCAAACTTAATCACTATCATAATGGCCCAGCGGATAAGTGATCAAATTGTGCACTTTGTGTTACAAGCATGAAATTTGGCATGATTGTAGCTTATACCCTTCTTATTAAATAAAGATCGAAGGGTCTCGCAGATTTTTTTCAGATTTTTTTCATATATATATATTTTTGGTTTTGGTGGTGAGTTGAAAAGAAATCATTTTTTTTACTATTTTCATCATAACTTCTTTTAAAATTCTCCAATTCTCATAAGTTGAATCAAACCCGGGTCTTTGGCGTGACGAGCCGACGCTTTAACCACAAGGCTAACCCACACCCACACCCCCACCCCACATTAGCAAAGTGTTTGTATCAGATATACGTTAAAGATGCATCGATGTCACTTTCTCTATAAATGTCCAGTGTACTTTGATATTGGTCAAACATATTTTAGAAATATACTTTTGTACATCCGTAATAACTACTCAATACATTCTTTAATTGCAGACCCGTGAAGATCCGGGTTAGAATGAATCTTCAGTAACCCATGCTTGTCGTAAGATGCGACTAACGGGATCGGGTGGTCAGGCTCGCTGGCTTGGTTGACCCATGTCATCGGTTCGCAATTGCGCCGATCGATGCTCATGCAGTTGATCACTGGATTGTCTGGTCCAGACTCTAGTATTTACATACCGCCGCCAAATAGCTGGGATATTGCTGAGTGCGGCGTAAAACTACACTCACTCACTCTTTAATTGCATTGAATATGTCTTTACCTCATCTAACTATTTCTTATATTTGTTTGTTTGTTGTTTAACACCGCACACAGCAATATTCCAGCTACATGGTGGCGGTCTGTAAATAATCGAGGATGGACCGGACAATCTAGTGATCAGCATCATGACGTCGATCTGGGATGCGATGGCATGTGTGAAACAAATCAGCGAGCCTGACCACCCGATCCCGTTAGTCGCTCTTACGACAAGCATGGGTTGCTGAAGACCAATTCTAACCCGGATTTCTATTTTGGAACCACTGACAAACCACGTCGTGCGTTATACAACAGAGGGTTTTTGAAATACATCTTAAATGGGATTTGTTCCTAGGTGAATAGTACAGAACGTTTTGCACGTGCACATCGACAACGAAGGGCGTTTTCTTCTGGCAAGGTAAGCGTGTATCGACATTACGTAATTATTGGTGTACTTTGCCGTTCAAGAAACAGTTATAGTACGAAGTCATGCTAAAGTGACTACCAGCACCCAGCCCCAACGTGTACTCGTTTTTATTTGTGATTATTGCTTAGATAAGGGGATGCGGTCTTGTGACGCAAAAAACACAAAACAGGCATCAATGTATATACTGTTACTGACGGGATCTCAGCACTATATACTTTTACAAGTCGGGAAATGACATCTGCTGTTTATGTCTTGATTTTACAAACATAACAATAAGAAATTGTGAAGTTTAATTTGACGTTTCGATTTCATTTTTAAAATATCAATTATTCTACCAGCGTATATATTGATGACGCGAGTGAAATCAATCGATTGACCAATTATTCAATCAGTTGCTCCAGCCACAGGTGCTTGTAATGATAAAAACTCACATCATAGTATGTACTGTCGCTAACAGTTTCTTAGCATAGTACTAAGACCCCGTTAGTGACAGTACATACCTTGATGGCAGTTTTAGCCTTACAAGCCCCTGTGGCTCCATCACAAGTACATTTGCATTTATCTTTACAAATTAAAAAATGTGGAAAGTTGAACTCACACCTCACAAGAGCCATGGCCCTCTTGCAAAACATTGTTATGGCTGTCATTGTTAAGTTACTGTTACATGTATAGCCATTACCCAGAGGCTTGGTAATTGTTTTAAGGCTCTTTTACACTTATTATTTCAAATTAACAGCAATCTAGGAGAATCAGCCAGAAATAAATATTTCCAAAATTCAACTGCAATCGGAGAGAATGTCAAAATATGCAATTTGTTTCAAGCTTTGTAAGAATGCTGTTTCACTGGCAACTCCCAAATGCTATCTGACATTTCAGTGGCAGTTGGCTACGGTTTTATGCAATTCAGCGGTGTTATGACGATGTCAGGGCTCATTTGAAGAGCGTTCAGGACGTTCTGACTGTATTCAAGTTTTTTTCGAGGTACATTCGAACTGTACTCCAACTGCAGTTGAAATATTCCGATACATTTGAAGGATATTCCACCTGAATTCCAGCAGCAATCGAGATACATTCTGAGTCAATTCGAGGCACATTTGGGACATACTGACAGGATTTGAAATTGCTTGCCTTTTTCATTTTCCCTTGAATACTTTCAGAATACTAAGAATGCAGTTAGAATGCACTTTGAATGTACTTCAAAAGTATACATGTTCAAAACATTTGGGCATGCTACAAGAATTGATCCAAATAGTTGGAATGCATTCGGAATTCAGTATGATGTTTTGGAATGCAGTTAGAATTTGTGGTGCGTGGTTGAGGTTGAGGTCTGAAATTATGTTTTTGGACTGGAAGATTTTATTTACTTTGATGAAAGGTTAGTGGAGGGGCAGCTCCTGTTTTTCAAGTAAATACCTGTTGTTTTTTCAGCTACCTGGGAGGTTATTGTACATCATGATATTGATGTGCTGGTAACTGTTGAATGTTGATTCTACATTGATGCAAATTTAAAACCATTGATGTCAAAGAAAGAAGTGTACACCGCGGGCTACTGAAACATATTAAACACATGAAAGAGGCTAATCCTCCTAAAAGGTTAGTTAAGAGGCTTGAAAATATACATTGAACTCTTCTAATACGTTTTGAATATTTTTCTTGTAGTATTACCAAAATAATCACTGCAATCTTTAAGCAAAAATTGGAAATGTACAAATGTGTTTCTTATACATCCTAACAATTATATTACTGTGATGTCCAAAACATTATTTGGTATTAGTCTTGAGAGATATTTTAAGCAACAATCAAACTAGTTCATAATATATAATAATTTCTGTGAATTATCTAATTATAATCTCTTCATTACTCTATGCATTCCCAAATTGAGTAAGATGGCTGAACCTGTTACTTTAATTGTTCCTACCCACAGATCTTGGTGTGAAGATTGTTCAAGTTTATCAGCATTACTGTTACATTTGTCTTGCATTAGGTGAAACAGAGTAGTTTGGGATCCTTTGGGGTTTCAAGATTGTAATTGTAAACTAAGAAAGTGTTAGTAGACTGTGTCACAACCACCACATAATGTCAACAGTAGTATGAGTAATATGCAGGTGCTCTCAAAGAGAAATCATTGGAAAGTGGCATGTTGGAGAATATTATATCAAAGACATTTTTTTTATTTTAACATTTTTATTTCTCAGTACATGTTAACATGACATTATAATTATGAATAGATGTTCACATATACAAGGCATACATGAATAGGTAGTATTTACAGGCATAGGGCCTTACAGTGTTACATTGACCATTCTTTCTTTGCAGATATTCCATATAGATAAGTGGGCATAACTACACAATACTTAAGTACACATCGGTACATAATGTTGTTTCTTATTGTATATGAATTACAACTTGTGTATGTTTGACTGCCTCTGGTAACATGCAAGGTATAAATCATTTAACATTACCCATTATTTCTCAACAGATGTTTACATATACATAAGTATACAATGTACAGTGTATGGAAACGTCTACTGCATGTTTGACTGTTTCTAATCACCTGCAAGGCATACATCATTTTTACATTAAAGTGTATCAGACATGATACATGCTTGTTAAGTAATAATAATGTCTTAGATAAAAAAAATTGACAAACATCTGTTCAGTCTGAAAATATTGTGCAGTTGGAAACTGTCTTGACACTTAAATGTACAAGATTTTAAAATGTTATTATTAATCTCTGTATTGATGTATTGTAATACTTTAGAGTTAATACATCAATACTGTAGTGAAATCCTGATCTGCTTCCCTAGTGGTTAAAGTGTTCGCTTGTCACGCCGAAGACCTGGGTTCGATTCCCCCATGGGTACAATGTGTGAAGCCCATTTCTGGTGTCCCCCGAGCTGTGATATTGCTGGAATATTGCTAAAAGAGACATGAAACTCAACTCACTCATTCATTTTCTGCTGGGAAAGATATGGAAGAGAAATGGGATGATTCCCAAAAATTATTACTGGCTCAAGGATGGGGTCATAAAAATAATTAATGGTTATTATATGGTTAAATATTGATTGCTTTGCTGTGATTTTCATGATAAAAAACTTCTTTGTCAAATTTTTAATCTTTGGGGAGGTGCATAAATAAAACAGACAAGCAAGCACTTGGATAGGTCATCTTGTCATGCTTGACAAGTCTCTCACAACTGCGATCTGAGTCAATAAGGCACAACTTTGTACTTTGTGTATTATTTAACACCACACTCTGCAATATTCCAGCTTTGTGGCAGCGGCCTGCAAATAACCGTGTCTGGACCAAACAATCCAGTGATTAACATCATGAACATATTTTGTAGTTATTACTTTATGACATTCAAGTTAACATTCAGCAAAACATTTCAAACAGTGTTAGTCGGGATGTTAAGGACATTGATAAATTTGATGCATGTTTGAGGCACCTGTACCGTATGCTCACCTGTTTTTTCAGATGAGCAGTTACCTTGCCTTTGCATGTGTTTGTGACAGGTACCTTAGTTGACTCAGGATAAACTCACATTTTATCAAACTATAACCTCCTGTTTTTTAGCTGTGCACTTGATCAGTGAAGTAGAAGTAATACCTACCTGACCTTTTATATTTGCATATTTATCCGCTTGTTTTATCCCACTGAGAAAACTGTTTGGTATATGACAAAATACAGTACATGTTTTGTGCATAAAAACTTTACTGTGCCCAAGTATGTTTTAAAACATATCAAACAACTTTTGAAACTCCTAGAAAATGATTTATTTATATCTCTTCAATTTACCTTGGAGCACTTGTGACTTTTCTCATGCTAATATCTGTTTGTTTCAAAGTTCACAGACTCATTTACTTTGGAACCCGATGTTGCAGGAAAAATAAAATGAAGTTCAAAGCAGCATTTAACATGTTTAACAAGTTGCGTGTCATGTTTTATTCATTGGACGCAAATATATGCAAACAGATACAAATGTCGTTCCTTTAGACTTCAAGGGGTGTGGAAATAAAATATTTTCCCTGGTCCTCAGATGAGTAATCTACTTGTCCATTGAATGGAACGCTTCTAGTCTTGAATATATGTCTCAGCTTCTAGATGGCATGGCTGGCTGTGTTTGGACTATCAGTGCTGCTTTCCTGAGAACAAATCACAAACGTTTGTAAGAAATTTACACCTGGAAAATAACTGATAAATCTCATGGAGGGTTTTACCTTATATAGACAAAGTTTATGGATAACACCTTTTTTGTTCACGAGTGCAATGTTGCGGTACAGGTTCTCTTGCAAACAAGAATGGCAAGAGAATCTGTATTGAAACATCACACTCACAAATAAAAAAAGTTGTTATCCATAAAGTTTGTAATCTTGAACTTGCCAGCTTCTAAAATGGCATTAAAAGAAGGATTACTTACAATAGTGGGGGTCCAGGGAACAGCTATCAATATATTTGAAGGGTAATGTGAAGGTCCTGTAATGTATTGTACGTTCAGATAAATACTTCAGAGTGTGGAATGAATCTGTGGCCATGTGGACAGTGGTCATGGCTGATGGGTGAGTGAGTGAGTTTGGTTTTACGCCGCTTTTGGCTATATTCCAGCAATATCACAGCGGGGGACACCAGAAATGGACTGCACACATTGTGCCCATGTGGGGAATTGAACCCAGGTCTTCAGCGTGACGAGCAAACGCCTTAACCACTAGGCTACCCCGGCTGATGGGTGAAATACCAGACCCAGATGAATACTCTTGATACGCTGTAGGTGAGTGAGTGAGTTTACTTTTACACCGCTTTTAGCAATATTCCAACAACATCACTGCGGAGGACACCAGCAATGGGCTTCACACATTGTACCCATGTGGGGAACCGAACCCGGGTCTTTGGCGTTGCAAGCAAACACTTTAACCACTAGGCTACCCCACCTCCCCTGCTGTAGGTGTTGTGTGTCCACTCTTTTGTGCTAACTGGACCCACAGTTGTTAAGGTTAGGGGTTCCAATCCCCACAAGGGTACAATGTGTGAAGCCCATTTCTGGTGTCCCCCGACAGATGTTGCTGGAATATTGCTAAAAGTGACGTAAAGCTAAACTCAGTCAGTCAGTCTTCAAGTTAGGAATACATGTATATTTAACATACATACCCATCTAGTGTTACATGTGGAATTCAGTTTTTACATTCAAC